GGGGGGGTAAATACAGCAAATACTTGTCCAGCATGTCACAGTATTGACCTTCCCGCGGCTAAATAAGATGGCTGTTTACAGCCATTAAGCACTCCATTAAGCAATGCAAACTTCATACCTGGTGACAGGACTTGTACTGTCTAGCGCTACATTCAGAGGGTGGGTGACAGGGACCGTAGTGAAGCAAGGGCGTTTCAGTGAGTAGTTGCAAATGAATTCACAGGAGGGTTCAGGTGGGGAGGGACCTCTGGAGGTCATCTAGTCCACCCCCCCTGCTCAAGCAGGGCCACTCAGAGCCAATGTCCCAGGACCATGTCCACTTGGGTTTTGACTCTCCAAGGATGGAGACACCACAATCTGTCTGGGCAACCTGTGCCAGTGTCTGACCCACCCTCACAGTAAAAACAAGTGTGTCTTCTTGTGTTCAGGTGGGATTTCGTGTGTTTTAATTTGTGCCTATTGCCTCTTGCCGTGTCAGTGGGCGCTACTGAGGAGTGCCTGGCTCCCTCCCCTTCCTTCTATCCCATCAGGTGTTGATGCACATTGATAAGATACCCCTGAGCCTTCAACAGGCTAAACAGTCCCAGCTCTCTCAGCCTCATGCTCCAGACCCTCCATCATCTTTGTGGCCCATCCCCAGACTCTCTCCAGTATGTCCATGCCTCTCTTGTACTGGAGACCCCAGCACTGGACACAGCACGCCAGGTGTGGCCTCACCAGTGCTGAGCGATTTCCCCAAGAAGTCCAGGGAAAGTGCATTCTGCCAGTGCTGAAAGAAGGGCCTATCAAAGTTTAAAAAAAAAAAATTCACAAAAATTCCTCCTTCTCAGGAAATGCAATTAAGTACATATACTGATGGAAAGGAGTAATAGGTTTAAATGTACTGGATTTGAAATAAATGTGATGCTGTAAGCCATTCTTAAGAAAAAGCTACACACTTTCACTTGAATCATCCTAATGGAACATTTACTTGCTTAAGAAGTGTAGTAGTGAAAGAGGCCATGCTCTCTGAAGCCGATATTCTGTTACTGCTGGATAGTATCTAAATCCTTAAAAGCGACACACGTGCAGACAACAGCGACGCAGGCCTTAGTGTTGCTGAGCCGGAAGGGCTGTTCAGCTGCTGTGGGCTGTAGCGTAGTGAGAACTGCAGTACACCTGTAACATACTTCAGACACTGGACAACTTACCTGAAATACAATTTAAATGATTTGACAAACAAAGTGCATAAAAGCAACCACACCTGTCTGCTTAAAAATAGTTTTTTATTAGAATGCAGCAATGCCTGTCAGAAATAACATTTTGATCATCTAATTTTACAGCGAAAAAACATTGTGTTGTGAGGTTCTCATTTCTTGCCCTTGGACTTTTGGGGTAATATCCAAGTTTAGAACAACATTGTTATAACTGAAAATAAGGCACAGTTTCCTACAGGTTATTTTGCATGGGATCAGTTAAAATGAAACCATGTTTAAAATTGAATGATCATACTTTTTTTTCCTCACTATGATAAAAACACATACCTGTATTTCTCAAGAGCTGTACTTAACATTCCATCCATAAAGAAGAAGTCTTCCTTAAGGCACAAGAAAACAAGTATTTTCTTCATAAATGTTACAGGTTCCTTTGAGGCATAGAGATAAATGCATTGAATGACAATTTCTGTCTTTGCTAGATTCAGGTGAATAAGATGGTTAAGTCACTGAAAAGAAGCCCTATGAAAACAAAAACTAGCTTTTGTTCATACTGACTCATGAATGTGTGTAAAATATAGATAATCTGCAAGTAATAATCTGGCCACCATTTGAGAAAACTAATACCAATCTGTGTTGTAATTTATGAGAATGTATGTTTTTGAAAGGTCCAGAAGTCAGTATGTATTGACTTCCAATTTTTTTAAAAGGTGCAAGTTTCTAAAGGCCACAAAACCACAGTGTTAGCATATTTATTTTAGCAAGTGGTGACCTAGAGACCATGTGCTGCAACATGGTATTCCTGAGGAAGCAGAATAGCTTTTTTAAATTTCCCTGAGATCTATTAATTTGATATCCACCCAAACTCCAGTGATAAAACAGTGGTAGCAAATCTGTATCATTTTAAACAATACAGAAACACCGAAAATCCAATTCCTTGTTACATGCTGAATGTCCTCACAGACAAAAAGAAAAAAAATTAAAAAATCAGAATTTCATTCACTTTTTTGATCATATAAATTTTACAAGGAAGGTTTTTACCTCTTCTCCCACCAAAAGCCAAAGATTTGAGTGACAGAGAGTGAGTGGGGAAAGACGACAACCAATCACTTCGAAATTCAGAAATGTTTAGAAAACCGGTTTTCTGAAAAAAGTTTTTTCTGAAAAAAAAGTTTTTTAGTCAGAAGGAATGAAGTGAGGGAATGGACGGGGAGTACAGAAGTAGTGCTTAATCGTGTACACAATAAAAAGATTTGGAAGGAAAAAGAGTTTTTCCATGCCTTTCTAATTGTATTGAGAAATGCACTAAAATCCTCTTCCATGAGAACACAGAACTCTACAGCAGTGGCCAGACATGCTTGATACATTTCTTTAAGCCTTATATTTGCCAACATGTTCACGAGCTATGATCATCCTTTGAATTGGAGCAGTTCCCTCATAAACCTGAAAAGAAGAATTGCAATGTTAGCTGATAATTTTTTAAAATATTTCAACAGATCTTTCTACACTTGTAAACCTTCACAGCACTAATCCAGTGTGGATTAGGATGTGCAGAAAGGCAGAGTAAACTGAAAAAATTCCAGTGTGACTTGAGTAACTACAGTGGGCTAAATGCAATAAACCACATACAAGATATTGAGAGACAGTCTTGTTCTCTCATATGCTGTCATCAAAACTCGGTAAGGTTCTCATGAAATTAACAGACACAGTGGGTGAAGAAGGATGGGGAAAATGTCTTATCTGCAGAAGGAAATACATAATTTAGGTTTTACAAAGTAGATTTTGAAACGGTGGGTGGAGGGGAGGAGGTGACCTGTGCTGAAAGTGGTGTATTTTCTTTGACTAGCCTTTCAAGGCCATAGCAAATGCTCCCTTTCATCCATTTATTCCCACTGCTCCTTCTTAACTAGTATTCTCTTCAACACAGTATTTCTTTTTTTATTTCTTTTTTTTTAACCATGTATTCTTGCATTTTCCTCTAGAAACATTCTGCATCCTCCCTCTGCTCCATTTGGCTTGCTGGCAGCAAAGCCAGAGATACACAACAAAACACGGATGTAGGTCTAATGCAGAAAGAAGGCCATATACTCCACAGGTACAGTGCAATGTGATTCAAGGGCAACATAGTTTAGGGGTTTAAGTGTTTCACCTCCCAGTTCTGAGCCTACTTTGGCAAATTGCTCAAAGGCATGCAAATGAGGACACCAGGGGAGGTTTAGATTGGACGTGAGGAAAAATTTCTTTACTGAAAGAGTGGTTAAACATTGGAACAGGCTGCCCAGGGAAGTGGTTGAGTCCCCATCCCTGGAGGTATTTAAAAGACATGTAGATGAGGCGCTTAGGGACATGGTTTAGTGGGTGGTGGTGTTGGGTCAACGGTTGGACTCAATGATCTTAGAGGTCTTTTCCAACCTCAATGATTCTACGATTCTATGATTCTAAATTCACTTTCTCTGTAGTCATAAAATAGCGATAATCTTCCCAAGAACCTTACAGAACTTTTCAAAAATAAAGACGCTATAAGCTGTGGTCACATTAGTTTTTTGGTTCAGTGGAAATGGTTCATTCTCAAAGTGAATTCTCTGACTGCTGCTTACCCTGTATCTAAATTACTTGCTGATGAGGACAGCCATGAAACTCAAGTGTAAAAACATCAAAATCCATAGTCTTCTTAAGTAACCACGAGAAATGTTTTGGTTTATAAGCTAATGGGAGTACTTTCAAGCATCATTGACAATTAAGGGAAGTTTTCTGAATTTGAGAAACTAAGTTAGAGTTTCTATCATAGCAACGTAGATTTGTAGCCAGACAGAAACCCATAGCAAAGCGTGGACATAGAAGAATGTTACCAGTAAACACAATAGCAGAACTGTGTCATACTGAGAAATATCAAATATATGAAAGAAAAGAACAGGTGGAAAACAAAGTGTCTGTACATGAAACA